CTTCCTGTGGTTACTGCTTCTACTTGCACACAGGCTCAAAGGCATGTGCACGTGATCATGCACATACACGCACACACACACGCTGCGGTGAGTTAATTATCGTTAAGTGTCGGTAAGTTATAGCATGAAACTCCGCTGACCCTTTCCCAGGGAGCCAGCGCTGTCGGGCCTCGCAGCAGCACAAATACATCACACAGGCATGATGTCATCAGTAGTCGCCAGTGGGCAGGATGTTTCCTAACGTGGTAATCGCCCTACTGTGGTATAGTCACCCGGTACCCGAGAGATCAAACCCTCTGTACTCTTTGTAGGATAAACATCTTGAGCACTCTGCCCCTTCCTTGCACTCCGTTTTTCTTCCCCACTCTCCATTTAGCTTATGGAAACTATGACTTACTTGTTCCCAACACTGTGCTTAAAACATTGTTGAAAGGAAGACAGATTATTATGGTGCATCAATCAATAATGCATGACTTTATGTAGTGTTACAGTCCGCTTCATTTACTTCCATATGGAATGATCTGACCCCAATTTGACTTCTTGCTTTTCTAGTTTCTGGTTTGTGAATCAGGTGTGCTGTTAGAGTTAATAGGCTCTACAGGGATGTGGAATGAGGTGCAGATAATGGTTGCACAGTTATCTCAAGAGAACTGAAGGTGGGATGGGAGGAGGGGGGGGGGGCTGCTGAAGCTGTCGGTTGAGAGAAGTGAGAGTGGTGCCAGGGGTGAGATCCCCCTCCTGCAGAGCAGCGGAAGCGTGCGAGGCTGGACTGAGAGGTGTGAGGGTGCCGAACAGACGCTTGGGCTAATACGAGCCGTCAGTTTTGGCCGCTGCAGCTCTGGAGCTTGAGGTGTTGGAGAAGTGTCTTAGGTCTGCTGGCCCGGGAGAAAGGCGGGAGGAGGGAGGGAGGAGGAGGAAGAGAGGGAGATGCAAGTAGAGAGAAAAGGGAATTACAGTATGGTTATATTTTTGTAAGTTCCATAAAACTAAAACCAACAGTGTGTTTGTGCGTCTCTGTATACTTTCCTCTGCTTGTCAGTGGCCTCATGCTGCATTTGTTCCTATTGAAGAAATGGGTCAAAAGTTTGATTTAGTTTTTTTTTAAAAGGCTCGATGATTTCCCTACACAAATAAGAATTATAGTATTTTAACAAATGTTACTCAAACAGAAGTAAATAGTGTATTTTTGGGGACCATTTTCAGCTGCATATTTGGTGCGTTAGCGGGTTTTTGCAGCAGTAGGATGGTGAACAACAAACTGCGGTGGCGTAATCATGGGAATGAAGGAACACGTCACCCACTATATATATATATATATATATATATATATATATATATATTGTTTTTTTGGCAAGAGAAATAAGCTCTATCATGCTTTGGCTACAATAACAATACTTGTAAGTAGGATCATATATGAACATAAAACAAAGTACAGACATGTTGAGATGGATTTTGATAACTAAAAAATATGTATAATATACAGAAAAATGGCTGTAAAATAGTGAACCTCAAATGTTTGTTGATTATTTTCTGGAAAAAGATCAGATTTGTTAGCAGGCAGAGACTCTCAGCAGTGAAGTACGTGATGAGGAAGCCATAGGCTTTAAAGCGTAAATCATGAAAGATACTAACGCAGTGTTCACACCCTTAACCCTCTGGTGACCAGGTGCACTGTAGGTTTAAAGGACCGAGAGGTCGTCATCATCCCAACATCTCTGATGTGCGCTGCCGTGCACGTGTGTGGCCCACACAACTCAAATGATGTGGGCTAACTGTGCACTGTCAGCAGTTTGTATAAAAAGCAAATCAGGCATCAGACCAAATGATAAAAGCAGCTCACTGTGTGTCTGTGCATGTTTGTCTCTTTTGCATGTGTGTGTGTGTTGCATCTCTAATTATGGATTACAGAAAGCCATAATGATTGAGTTACCGTGCTGTGACGCACAAAGCCTCTCGCTTCACAGGAAACACTTTGTGATAGCTGTTTATGTGTGTGTGTGTGTGTGTGTGTGTGTGTGTGTGTGTGTGTGTGTGTATGTGTGAGGCGCAGCAACCGATCCGGACGCTGTCTCCTCAGAATGAAGCGCTCATAAGCCATGAGAGGGTGTGTTTGTGGTGTGGGTATGTTTGCGACACAGGTGGGGCGATGGCTACTCACATCCTCCCAGAGGAAGTCATAAATGCACCCGCTTGGCTTTGACTGTGCCTCTCCCCCTCATTTAATGACTGCCATACTGCTATAATGTCCTGTAAGAGAAAGAGAGACAAAATTGTGGCAGAGGCGATACACTCTGTGGGCTACACTTTCCTTTTCTCCCAAACTGTAGAGATGAAATTCATACAATGAGGAGTGGAAATGGAAAGCGATGCAAGAGAAATAGTTAGTGTGGGAGTTGCACCGCGGCATCCAGTTGTTCTCACAAGCGAAAAATAAAGAGCTTTTACAGTGAAGGGGCGGCAGGTCTGGCTTTCTCCCCAGAGGGAGTGCACCTGCGCTCAGCTGCAGGAGGAGGGAGAGGTCCCTGGTGTGGTGGAAGACAAAGCCGGCCCTGGAGCAGCGAGGTATGAGGGAGACAAGAGAATGTGTGAGACGTGAAGTAATTGGATGGATAAATAAAATAGAAGTCCTTACTTAATTATAGTCCTCTTTTGAATAGAGAACATTTGATCACAAGCCCAAAAGGTTGGAAACCAGTGGACAAGTGTTCAAGTCGAATGTTGTTCAGGGCAACATTTGGAAGGAGGGGGATTTGATGAAAACTGTGATTGATGGAGTGGTCCACAGCACAGATTTGGTACAACTGTGGACAGAAAGATTGGTATAAGTCGAACTCCATTGTTTCCAGAGTTGAACAGCTTTTCAAACCAGTCCAATGTGTCCCCCGTAGCAGTGTGAGCCTAAAGCTAATGGCCAACAGAGAGAAGAGCTGTCCCTCATAGAAGAGTAACTAGATCCTTTCTTTACTCCTGCTCGGGCCAATCATCTCTCAGTGCTGCCTTTGTACAATGTCCTGCAGCAACTGGGTTTAATAGAGACATAAATGAAAGGGGGTGTAGGGAAGAGAGTCCACAGGGAAAACTACACAAGAGTGAAGAGGGGAAACAGGGCTGAGGAAGACAAAGAGGCAGGTGTGCAGTGAAAGAAATGACACGCACTGAAAGTGCAGTGAAACACGCATAACATTTACATCATTGCACACTTATATTACTAACAGCTGGTACGCTATGGTCAGCAAATTCTTTGGAATTGTAACGTGTGTGTGCGCGCACTAGTGTGATGACAGCTCGGCAAAGATCTTGCCAAGTTCAGATACAGTCGACTCCGATAAAGAACTTGTCGAGTGGCAATGGATGGTCGATGGTCGGCTGCTGGAGAGGGCTGTCCTCATACAGTTGATGTCTTTACTGTATTAGGACAGTAAACAGTCATTCTAATGGCTATGGGGATGGCTTTGTCAGTCTGTTGGTCAGTCAGTCTGTCCACCACTTTGGTTCAACGGAAGTATCGCAACAGCAATGAAATGTAAAAACATTCGTGGTCTCCAGAGGATGAATCCTAATAATTTTGGACTTTTGTTTTTCCAGTAGTAATGTTCCCTTTAGGGTGAACTGTTATAACTTTGGCTATCCTTTAACTTTTTTGTCTAGCTTTATTATCGGGTCTAAATTTTAGCGCTAATTAGCAAGATGGTAAAAACATGTTGAACATTATACCACCTAAGCATCAGCATGTTGGCATTTTAATTGTGAGCATGTTAGCTTGCTGATTTTGAGCATTTATCTCAAAACACCGCTGTGCCGACAGCCTCAGAGGGAGTGTGGCTGTTGACTGTTTTTCTTGTTTCATGTAGTCAATCATTTGGATATATAAATGTCAGGTAAGCAAATATCAGATGATATTTAAAAAAATAAAATCACATTTCCCCAAAGGCCTAGGGTGATGTTTTTAAATCGCTTGTTTTTCTGACCCCCAAAACTCAAGATTAAATTTGCAATAATATAATTTGGATCGCTATACTATCACTTTTCCCTTTTAAAGCACTTTGCGATGTCTAGTTTTGATTGGTGCTATATAAATAATGGAGGAAGGGAATTTCTAGTCTAACCTATAGAAGTTGGACACAATCGAGAAAAGAAAGAAAAATAAAACAGCTCAAAAAGCCACAGATGGTCTGGGTAGATGATGTAGTGTTGTTGTGTTTTTTGAGAAAACCTATAAATGATTTTGTGTGTATGTACCTGTTTGTATATGTGTGGGCGGTCTGTCTGACAGTTGATAAAGAGGGAGGTGAAGGGACAGCCAGGAGATGTTGAGCGACAAGGTGCTGACCCCTGGGATGTCCTGCTGGGACATGAGAGGAGCAGGGTCAGGGGGGGCCACGTCTTGCATCTGCAAAGGGGGGGGCTCAGAAAGCCGGGATGTGCGGATGAGAGAGAGGAGGGGACGGGGATGGGGTGCACCAAACATGGAGCCCCCAACTCATGAGAACCAGATGAAGGGCAGACTGGATGACTCTCTGGGGCTACGAGAGGAAGAGAGCGAGAAGAAAGGGGCTCATAAAGCTGTCAGAGTCCGCCTGCATCTCCCTATCATGGCTCAGTGTGCGCCACATGCATTGCTCCTAGTGCTGGTCCTCATGAATGTTTCAATCATAAGCCAACATGTACAGTATACTGCACATCTATAGAAGTTTTTAGTCTGGGACTGACCCACAGTCTGACAAGCTTTATCAGCTCCTTGCTGACAGCTGTGGTTGATGGACTGTGTAAGGATAATATGTGGAAAATGTGAGAGGAAAATACATTTTTTTTTTTGCAAACATGTTTTGTTTCTTTGTGAGATGCAACTCAATACTACACAGAAAACTTTTACCCCCTCTGTATCTCCCTGCACACATTTTGAGGTTCTGCTCATGTGGAAAGAAGCAGCATTCTCTGCATACATGCAATCCGTCTCATTTTTGTGGTTTAGTGTTCACTTTTTATTTTTCATTTTGCAGTGGAGCACGATAAGGAATTCCTGCCAGTGCGGCGACATCACAGAGAGTTCAGATTCGACCTATCACGGATCCCGGAGGGCGAGGCGGTCACTGCTGCTGAGTTTCGTATATATAAAGACTTCATCCACGAACGTTTTGACAATGAGACCTTCCGCATCAGCATCTACCAGGTGTTGGAGGAACACACTGATAGGTGAGCATGGCTATATGGATTTGTGTTTGTCCGTCAATCATGTCCAATTTCAATATTGCAAACTAACATGTAGATCTTTTTTTTATGTTTCTAAGCAATAACTCTCTGGAATACACTTTAAACTATCTTGAATTTATTTATGACCAAATTCCTGCAAAACTAATGACATCAGTCTCAGTTTAAGTTTCGGTTCAGTGATAATTAGCAAATATTAGCATGTTAACTCCTTAATCGGGTGCCAACCTCTGGACCTGAAAAGTGAAGCCAATGCTTTACTTTAAGTGCCCTAAACCTGCATTCTCTCTAATGGCCATCAGGGGGCGTCTCCTCTTGTTGAAAAATAAGTCTGATTGTATAGAAGTCTATGAGAAAATAACTCTACTTCTCACTTAATGTAAACATTGTAAACATGAGTTTATGGTCTCAATCACTAGTCAAATCGACCATAAAGCAGGGTATGCTTTAGGGCGGAGCTACCTTGTGATTGACAGGTTGCTACCGCTACCAGAGCCGTATACAGCGTTTCTACGTCACTCCTCCACAGTCCAAATATAGTCACCTCCGCTCACTGGTTGCAAAAAACCAAGATGGCGATGGCCAAACACCGAACTCGAGACTTCAAAACCACAGTCTACACACCAATGGGTAACGTCACGACGACTACGTCCACTTCTTCTATACAGTCTATGACTTGAACCCAACTAAGATGGTAAACATAATAAACAATATACCTAAACGTCACCATGTAAGCACATTCACGTTACCAAGACCCAAACCCACACCAGCTAAATGGAATTCAGCCATCGTTCATTTCAGTATTTACTGTGCCTTTCTCATATTTTATCGACAATAATACCTTTGTTAAAAATCTAGATATTCATCAGTGATTAAAATAAGCATGAATTGTAGCCCTTATCTGGAAATGTCTTCAATCGAAGGAGGTCTGAGCCCATGTGTCTGTAATCTGGTCTGTGCAGAAGGTGTATGTAACTCAGGAATGGCCCATGTCCTGCTCTCCTCGACCCCTCCTAAAGGTTTCTCTTGTCCAGGGGGAACAACACAGGCATTTATTCCTTTGCCAGAGACGGGCCTGCATGGGTACATGAATGAACCAGAGCTCTGTGACACACTATCTGCCCAGTCAGAAAATAGGTCGGGATACATGAATGGCCACATGAAGAACAAGGGATTTTAGTCTCCGATGGTAAAAGAGTAGAAAATCCAGAGTTCAGTGTCGGACAATAGGACTGAATTGGATATGCACTATTTCACTTGCTACTTTCCACACAGTATTTTCTCTCTTTCGCAGCTGTGTTTTTCTCTCGCTCTCTCTCTTGCTATCTCTCTCTCTCTCTCTCTCTCTCTCTCTCTCTCTCTCTCTCTCTCTATCTCTCTCTTTGGCTTTGTGGCTCTCCCACAAAATTCCAGCCAGTGATGGACTGTGTGTAGTGTATGAAAGGACCCGTCGTTTATAAAGCCATTATTGTCAATTAAGAAAATGAAGTGTTCCCCTGGGCCTCACCATCTGGAGCCCTCCCTCCCTCGCTCTCTTGCTTACTCCATCTCTCTCTCTTTGTTTCACTCCGTCACACTCCTCCGACTCCCTTTCTCCACTCCATTACTTTGCGCTCCGGTCACTTAGCTTTACACTCCGTCACATGGCTTCAACCTATCTTTTTTAATTGTGCATATAATCCCTGTTGACTTCTGTTCATCTCTGACTTTAAAAGTGAACTTCTCTTCTGTATCCTTCTCCAGAGAGTCAGACCTGTTTCTACTGGACTCTCGGGTGATCTGGGCAGCAGAGGAGGGCTGGTTGGTGTTTGACGTGACGGCCACCAGTAACCACTGGGTCCTGAACCCTGGCAGGAACCTGGGTCTACAGCTTGCCCTGGAGAGCACAAAGGGTGAGTGTCACTCAGATCAGGGTATTCCCTTGGCACATGGGAAGGTGCTCTTTGGCGTGACAGAACTTGACGCTGGAATGGATGGCGGCTTATGTACAATAGAACGTTTTCAAATAACAAGCATTTGTTTATAGTCTTTTATTAAAGATCTTGTCAGTAATTGCAGAATTGAAATTCTCCCCCATTAAGTAGGCCACCATGACCCCCTCCCTGCCGACGCCTGTGTTACAAATCAATCATCCTCAAGGTTAATGATCGTGGGCCAGCTAGTGAGCCTTTTTGACAAGTGCAGACCTGACTTTAGTTTGCATGTGTTGAACCCCAATGATCTGACGCAATAAGAAGCTGTGACATCTCCTCTTTTAACCCTCCTTGGGTGATAAAGATGAATTTACACCCTTCTGACAGTGTAAACAAGAATTATAAGATTCGTAAATATATGATTATTGCGCTGTTGTTGTATTTGGTTTGCTTTGCGTTGCATATATATATGTTAATTAGAAGTATTGTAGGTATGAATTAAAGTTGCTAATTCAATACCAGGAGTTATGCCCATGCGGCAACCTCTGGTTCTGAAAAGTGAAGACAATGCTCAAGTGCCTTAAACTTGCATTCTTTCTATACGCCGTCAGATGGCGACTCCTCTGGCCTGAAATAGAACTATTGTAAAGAAGTTCATGAGAAAATGACCCTATTAGTCAATTAATTTATTACCCCAGGAAACATTGCAAACATGAGTTTATAGTCGCAATCGCTAGTTTCAAGTCTTCTTCAATACTGCATGATGTTCACTTCGTAAACTATGGTCCAATTTGGAGTGAAATAGCAGGGTATGCTTTAGGGCGTGGCTACCTTGTGATTGATGGGTCGCTACCAGAGCCATATGCGGTGTCTTTACCACAGTGTCACTCCTCCGTATAGTCCAAATATGGTCACTTCCGTTCACCGGTTGCCAAAAACCAAGATGGCGACGGCCGAAATGCCGAACTTGAGGCTTCAGAATGGCAAAAAAAAAAAAGTCTCAAACTAAACGTGAGGTTTGCTGTATGTATCTATAGCTATGATGTGAAGTTGATGTGGTTTGACGTCTTAACAAACCTGAAGGTCTGCATTATAATACAACATGCACTGACATCGTGGCTGTTCTCTTAAAGGCCCCAGAATCAGTTGATTCATTCTGAAAGCAAAGATAAATCAAACCCTGCTCCTCATCATTCATCATCAGCCATTCATCCCCGTCTTCCTCCGTGACACCCTCAGTATCATCAGCAGGCTTTCAGAAAACACACTGCGTTATCCTAAGGATAACATCTCAGCTGGAGTTTGTCATCACAAGGCTTGGGCTGTTAGTCAGTGGAAAACTTTATCAACAAACAGTGAGGTACAAGAGCCCGTTTGAGAATATTATCTCTCGCTGGATGGCAGGATGTTACATGTCAGGTGATTAAAACAGACACTGTATTGCTTTCATGTTGTGGGAGGGGAGTGTTGGAGAGGCTGTATCCACGAGTGTGTGTGTGTGTGTGTGTGTGTGTGTGTGTGTGTGTGTTTGTACGAAGGGTTATGGGTGAGCATGCACAGACAGGCACACGGGACATCCCGTCGCCGGAGGCGACCAGAAGCCTTGATTTACCTCACATTACCACACATATCAGGCACACATTCTTTTATGGGAGAGGTAGATAGACACTGCTGGAGAGCGCATGCACAAGTATGCACAAACACAAACACACCCACACGAAACACACACACTCCAACACAAGTAGAGAGGCTTTGATGTTCAGCGTTACGTTTTGTTCCCGGCATTTCAGAGGTGGAGAAGGGATGAGGAAAAAGGGAAAGGAATTCACAGGGAAATCTCATTTGTGAAACAAATGTGTGGTTGCAGTGAGGAAAAAGCAGAAAGACCACACACATGCCAAATATACACGGACACGCCAAGTGGGCACACGTTTATTTGATTTCAAGCACATTGCTATGTATGCCTAAAATCAAGATGTGTGGGACGCCAACACCTGTTGAACTGTATCTCTCTGTCTCCCCCTGCAGGAGAGAGCATCAATCCTCGCGTGGCGGGGCTGATCGGTCGCAGTGGGCCTCAGAATAAACAGCCCTTCATGGTGGCCTTCTTCAAAGCCACTGAGGTGCACCTGCGAAGCATCCGCTCAGCGCAAGGGGGGGCCAAGCAGCGTAACCCCAACCGCTCCAAAGGGACAAAGAACCAAGAAGCACTGAGAGTGGCCAATGTTGCAGGTAAACACGCAAAGTGTGTGTGTGCGTCGGATATACGGCCAGCGCTGATTCACAATTGTGTATATTCCGTTTGTTGTTGACTGTGTGAGGATGACTGGTCGGTCCACATGAGAAACTTACAGTGCAAACTCATTGGCATGCAAACGCAAGCATCCACGATTACACAATACTTCCGGGCCAACAACAGCACGCCGTTGGACCTGATGTGATTCCTTGCACGACAAAACACGTGATGCATGCTTTGTTTTAGAGGTGTGAGAGGGCTGTGTTTACGTGAAGCGCTGAAACATTAGACTGTAATGCCTGAGCTTCAAAAATCCCTCTGCTGTCTTTGTTTATTTGCACGAGCATTACAGAGCCGTCGGGGCCAAGTTCCCTGCGTGGAGGTGAGGCAGCGCAGGCTTTTATGGCAAGAACACATCTGCGTTGCGCTGTAGGGCAACCGGGGCCACAACACATGGGCCAAATGGGCCTGTTTGGAACTTTGGATACCAGCGCTCTTTAACTGGATGATGAGAACCAGTTGCTCATGATCATTTCCAATGTGAACCACTCTCAGGAACTTAATGTAGCGCAGAGCCCCAGAGGTCACCAGAGGAAGCGAGAGAGAGATACCATTAGATAGAAAACAGACGATTTTTTTTTTAAACACGTGGACGGGTGTAAAGGGGAAAATAAATGTTTGAAACGAGCGAAGAGAAAGGAGGGAGAATGAGTCAAGACGAATGTGTTGCACATCTGTTTCATCCAGTGGAAACTCAAAGCACAGCAGAGTGACCTTTTAAGCAGGGTGGCCCATTCATTTGAAACAATTACCAAACTGCTGCTGTATCTGGAGGTGATTTCCTTCAGCTGTTGTTTAAATGTTGATGTTTTATTTGTGGATATTGGCTGTGCTTAGGTCTGTTCTTTATCATCTCTAATTGGGGTCTGACCACAGAATAGTCACTCTTGTAGCTGATTAATGGATAATAGCACATGTGCTGAAGTAAAAATCTCTCTCTGTCTTCTTCCTCAGAAAACAGCAGTACTGATCAGAAGCAGGCCTGCAAGAAGCATGAGCTCTACGTCAGCTTCAGAGACTTGGGGTGGCAGGTACGGAAAGCATTCCTCTCCCAGGTAGCCCAAATTCGCATGCTCCAACAGAAGCCTAAATCCGTCACTTCTGGTTGCAAGTCTTATCCAAGAATCCTGATAAATGGCGGACTAGAATCAGTCCACATAATACTTGAGTCCAAGCGTGTTATTTCCAGCTGGATGTGCTCACTGAACTTTGTCCTCTTACTGTCCAGCTGCCACACAAGATGCGCTCTTGTGTCTGGTAACTGTACTCTCAGAGCAATAAGCTCAGTTTAATAAGCCCCGGGTTTTCTTTGTCTTCTAAGGGAGTAAACTTGACTTTTGGTCAGCCAGAACAAGCAACTGAAATATTTCCACTTGAGCACTTGCATTTTTCCACATTCTCCTGACATTTTATAGACCATTAATCAAGAAAATAATGGGCAGATTAAAAACTAATGACAATATTTGGTATTTGCACCTTTTAAATTCATTATTTGATTAACAGCTGACAATTTACTCTACTGTTTATTTAGTAAAGGAGCAATTACAACATAATCTATCATTAGAAAAAGGCTCATCAAGGGATGAAAAAAAAAAAAATACCACTGTCCCAGTTCTCCAAGCTGAATTTCTCTCTGCCCCCCCCCGCTCAGGACTGGATCATCGCTCCAGAAGGCTACGCGGCGTACTACTGCGAGGGAGAGTGTGCCTTCCCGCTAAACTCCTACATGAACGCCACAAACCACGCCATTGTGCAAACCCTAGTGAGTAACCATGAAAGAAAAAAAACCCCAGCAGTCATGTAAAGAGTCTAATCATCTCATCAACTGTCAAGACAATGTCGCCGCTGTTGGAACTTCTGCATTTAATGATCCAAAGCAGACGCAGATTGTATTTTAGAGTAAACTGTCATCGGTGATGTGATACAGGATGACAGTTTAAAGGCTTTTATTCCCACAGTACTTTGAGTCAGTGTACGCGATGCATCCTTTTTAACCATTTGTCGACATTGATTCGTGGTGTAATGATACATTTTAACATTTTTTCTCCCCCCTGCTCTTCCCAGGTTCATTTTATTAACCCGGAGACGGTTCCTAAGCCCTGCTGTGCGCCCACACAGCTCCACGCCATCTCGGTGCTCTACTTCGACGACAGCTCCAACGTCATCCTCAAGAAATACCGCAACATGGTGGTCAGAGCTTGTGGCTGCCACTAGACTGTCAGCATCTTCACATAGAGACACACACACACACACACACACACACACACACACACATGAGTAGAGAGGGCTTCCTCTTGCTGTCAGGCACCATTTGAAACATTGAGAGTGGATTACAAAGTGTAGTGCATGTATTTTTTATGGACACTGAGAGTTCAAGACAGTCTGTGTGGGAGAGACTCTCGTTACACGTTTAAGGTTGTCCTGAAGTCGACACGACTTCTCCCCGACGCCAGTGCACACACAAACAAACAAACACGCACACACCCACACACACACACACACACTCACGTTTGTGCTTTCTACTGTGTATACAAGACATTAAAAGCAGTGATTGTACTGTATATTCATTCACAGTCAACAATCTTTTGTTTATCTCAATAATTGTTATTGTAGTTGATTCTTTTACTGTAGATTTTATTATATATATATATATATATATATATATATATATATATATATATATATAT